CCTCTTATTACCATGGGTAAGTGATATTGTTGACATGTAAGTATGTGACTTCTTAGGTATATCACATTGACCTTGAGGTTTTTATCTTTTTTATTTTAACCCAGAAAATGAGGATAATAGGACAATGTAGAGTTGAATGTAAAAATAAAAGTAAAACATGATGCAATGTGAAATCAATATTTAAGGGTTGAATAAAAAAGAGTAATTTACTGTTTCAGGAGCATTTCCTAGATCAAAACTTGTGTGACCATTTTCTAATTTTTCTACGTGAAGGACACTTAATCAGTTGAGGACTTTGCTTTGGAAATCACAGTAATTTAATTTCCATGTATGGAAAGATCTTTGACTCATGATTTCTGAGAGGTTAGAGATTACTCGTGTAGAGTCATAGTCCATGAGCATACTCCACACAGCTGTATTTCCATGTTGAACCTAGGAATCTAGAAACACCAGAGATGCCCACTCCAGGCTAGGATTGTTCTGTAGAATCTTCTGAGTTCTTATTGAACAGCAGCCTCAGCTTTACCTGTGCTCAACCTTAAACACCTTCTTAAGGAGGTTATATCTCTATTAGTACGGAATTGGAAGGAGCCTTGATTAAACATATCCACCTATTGAAATCTCCAAGTGATCCTTATACCAGCCACTTCAGACTGCCTTGGGACATGGTGAACTCATGCAAAATACTCCTAAAAGAGAGTGTGTATATTTAGAAATTTTTCTTTTTGTTTTCCAAATTGTAACAAGATAAAACTTCTAAGAAATTGTGTTGTAAACAGGGGGAAAACCCGATTCTTTTTTTTGAGATTAGTGGATTATACAGAACACATCAAGCACAGGTGTCCAGTTACCAGAATACAGTAAAACGGTGATGAAATTTAGTAAGCTGGTGGATCAGGAGTCTCTTAATTTCATTGAACTGAGTCAATTTTTGATTATCTTGGAGAAGTCTCTGTGAAAGTGAATATACTTTAAAGTTATTTTCATTAAATCTAACGGACAGTAGATAAGATGTTTGAGACATTGTATTAGCATCACTTTAAGAATAAACAAAAATTCTGAAGTTCATGAAAGCATACTGAAAATTAGAGAAAAATATGATATTC